ATTTTTTTTAATAAAAAGTATCCTATGTTACTTCTAATACCTCCAAGAATATGTGTACAAAGTTTCATGATGATCGGTTAAGTAGTTTTCGCATGAAAGCGTAACAAACAAACTTACATTCACATTTATAATATCAGTAGGGATTATTATTATTAGTAGGTTTCGCTCGCGGGTAAATAAATATAGAAAATCTTTCGTAAAAAATATTTTTTTTTAATAAAAAGTATCCTATGTTACTTCTAATACCTGCAAGAATATGTGTATTACAAAGTTTCATGATGATCGGTTAAGTAGTTTTCGCGTGAAAGCGTAACAAACAAACTTACATTCACATTTATAATATTAGTAGGGATTCTTTGCTTTTAAACAACTTTTTTCCAGTTTCTGACTTATCCACGAATAATTCCATTCAGTTAAAACCAGTATCTAAAACAGAAATATATGCTTTGTTGGCTGCTCGAAATACCGCAGCGAAACAGATAAATTCACGGTTTAGAACACGCGAAGTATTGAACTTGCGAGCCACTACAGGAATATACACCTGCATGCAAAGCAGTTGGAAATGTCGTTATTTAAATTTACCCTACACATATATTTCCGCATCAAATAATGGTTACACAAATAAACTAAATGATGTTACTGGTTTATTTTTTAACATTACAACTTATCGAAAGTAAGGAATCAATATTTTACATGATCCTAAACATGAAAAATTATTTTATACTGTATGATTCACGTTACACCAATCCATTTCAATATGAAAATACGTGGCTTTAGTCTTGGTATGATTGAACGAAAAAAGAGTAAGACTTTGTTAATATTGCCCGACAAAAACAGGTTACTAGTTCATTGTTTAAAAACAATTTATCGAAAATAAAAATTAATATTTTATATAACTTGTAACTGTGTGTTTCATGTAGGTAACAACAATACATTTCAGTTTCATTAAGCAGACCCAACTATTTTTATTGAAATAACATTTTACACCAGTAATGGTCGTAGGAAATTTGGATTTCTATAAATGATCGTCACGTTACGGTTAGAATGTTCGTTACATTGAAAGGAAACTGGAGTAAATCTTTGAGACAATAATTTAAAATCATTTTAATTAATGAAAAAGGAACAATACAATTTATTTCCTTTTTAGAAGTCTGTACTCATCCTTTGTCTGTACTCATCTCATTATTTTGTTGTTTCAATTTTTATGGTAGATAAATTGTTTTTGCCTTTCTCTCTTTTCTCCCTATTTTGATTTCTTTTTTCAACTCGTGATTCAACTTCAACTTTAGGACTAAAAGGCCTTTTAATGCTGTGCTTTAATCCCTTGGTACATAGTATACTGTTTTTAGAGTAATTTCAGGTCAATAAAATTAATTAAAATTAAAAAGTGGTGGAAACTGATTTCGCTTTGTATAAATGAATAATTTTAACGATTACAATTGCCTTGTTATTTTACTTTGCTGTTGTATATAAAATTGATACTTACAGTGTTGTTGTCGTCTCTTTAACTCATTGTAAAATTCGAGGTAAAATAACAAGAGGTGAACCGCTCCCTGAATTCTGTACAAAAACTTCTCTATACTTCCTCAAACTTCCTCGGACCTTCTCTAGACTGCTTCGTAATTCCTCCACATAAATGTTTAACATTCTCCGCATTTTTCTACTACGATTAACCTCGGTAATAACCATTTTTGTTCAAAGGACGTTTCAACTCTGTGACAAGCGCACGCTTGAATACATATTGTGGTCAGTTTTGAGATTGAATGAAAATGTGAGATATTTCTCTCCCTGATGACCAAAAACCCAAATTTTTATCGTAAATACGATCAATTGTGTTTTGTCTACTCGTAAGTGTCTATAAGAGCGTAATTAATATAATGCAAAATATATTTTCAATCCTAGAAATTGCTCAGGATCTAGAGGTGTTTTCGTGACTATTGCTCATTTGCCATGTTTCTAATTTTATAACTTTGTGGCAAAGTTTCAAAGCCCAGTTTTGCGCTGTTCGAAAGTTATTTACCTAAAATAATGATACTAAATGGGTTCAAATTACAAATTTCCCGGGCACCTGTCAAAAGGATACTTTGCTTCACGAAACTTTTCTGTGAGACGCTTGACAGCCTTCGGAATTCCTTTCAACTTCCTCAACTTCCTTATAACTTCCTCCAACTTCTTCCCGACTTCCTGGGGAAATGTACAAAAACTTCCCCAACGGTTTACCCCTCGCAAAATTAGTAGTACTGTTATTTCCTGTAAAGTAAAACGTCTAATATAATATAATACTTATTGAGGTATTGAGGTTTATAACACACAAACCCAAAAATTCACCAGTAAAACTTCGATTTTAAATTTTTTAATGTATGCAGATGATCTTAAGATATATTCTAGAATAAATAACCTTGCGGAATGTACATTATTTCAAAATGATCTTGATACATTTTATAGTTACTGCTTGCTGAATAAACTACATTTAAATTTCAAGAAATGTCATTATATTTGTTTTACTGGCAATAAAAATTTATTTAGATTTGACTATAACTTCAATAACGAAAGGCTTTCTTACTTACAGGAGATAAAAGACCTATGTTTTATTTTTGATAGAAAATTAACTTTCTCCCCACATATAGATTACATTGCATTGAAAAGTAGTAAGATGTTAGGGTTTATCATTAGAGTATCTAAGAATTTTATTCTATTATTATTATTATTTTTAGTAAATTCCTTAAAGTCATTATATTTTGCTTATGTCTAGTTTGATAAATTTTGCTTGAACTGTTTGGAATCCCCAGTATGTGGTTCATAACTCCCGTCTTGAAGCGATTCAAAACAAATTTCTTAGATAATATCTTTAGAAAATAAGAGAAATCAGAATGACGTAATATTTTTGTGTAAACTTCTGAATAATCTAATTGAATCTCCTAACTTATTAAATCTTGTAAATATTTATGTACCACCCAGAAATTTTAGAGTTAATACATTATTCCAAGAGTCATTTTATGACACTAACTCTGGACAAAATTCGCCGTTGAACAGAATGTTCAGAACTTACAACAATTTGTTTTCCAATATAGATATATTTAGCGTATCACTAGTTAGCTTTAAGAGAGCACTAAAACAAACAACATTCTGTTAGTACAGATTACACATTATTGTTATTTATTGTTATTTATTGTATTTTATTAGTGTATTTATACTATATCTATACTATATGTATGTGGGTGTATGCGTATGTATGTGTGTATATATTGTTATGATTGTATGTGTGTATGGTTTTATATGTTAGCGCCAAATTAAATTTTGTTAGTTTTGATATTAATTTTGATTGGATTGGTGTATTGTGTATTGTCTATCTTTGCCCTATCTAGCTCTAGACTCTATCTCCGTAGTCGGTTCTATGTTCTAGCAAGAAACCACACCAAGCACAGCTACAAAAACAAAAGGTTTAGTAATAAATGTATTTATTAAAAAT